GACTTCTAGCAATTGTTATACTACAATAAAAGCTAAGGCACCCCCAGCCTCCCCCTCCCTTGGGTGTTCCGTAAATTTTCGGTGACTCTTTAATTTCAAATCACTAAAATTTAATATGAAAGTAGGTAGCCCGATTCATTGAAAATATATACTAATAAAGAGTTTAGTTCTGTTAAGGTTTTACTATCAATAAACAAGGAACATAACATCGCTATTCTGCTAAATGTGGAGGAAATAATTTCCTTCGTAGGCAGTTTTCTAGTCAGAAGGCAGCACAGAAAAAAGTCTTTTAGGCTCAGCTTCTTCCTCTCCTCCCAGACTCACTTTCACCTCTGTTCTGATCCAGACATAATGGAACTTTGAGGTCACAGGTGAGGTATTTCCATCTTCGTGATAAAAAAATGATGTCACATCCACAGGGCTGTGATTTCACTGCAGGACTGAACAAGTGGGTATCTGATGCATAGAATGAAAGTTACTGTTCAAACATAAACAGCAGAAATAATTGCAAAAGTAAAGCAAATGAACAGTCAAGTAAATTAATTCCTTTTTGAATCACTGTTCCTGTTTTCCAAGTCCAAATGATTCTCCTTTCCTATTTAGGAAGCCTGAGGGGATGAAAAAGCGTCCAAGATGGTGAAATTAAAAATTAGCTACTGAGCATGAAACATGCAATGATTGCACTTCATAACATTTTTATTGCCTCAGTGTTGTATGAATCACTTCACAGTTCCACACTGTTACGATGAAAAAAATGACACCCATAAATCTAAGCAATTGATGTTATGACTTCATCAACCCGAGACTAAAGGCATGCACAGAATGATGAATATTTTCAAGAATACTGAGAAAACTACCACCTCATTTTGAAGAAGCACAAGTTTCATCTTTGCACCTTTCTGAAGAGTGGCCATTCTCACACCGAAAGATGGAATACCAAAATAATCCTCAGCATAGCTCCATGTGACATTTTTAAAGGTCTGCAAATTCTGGAAGTGTGAAGCTGAATTATCTTTACAATTTCACTAAATCCAAAAAAAGTTAAATTTATTGCTACTTAAAATTTCCACGAGGACAATAATCTATGCTAAAAACAACAAAGCAGCAATGTAGTATTCTATCAGATACAGCATCAAAGGTATGGTGCAAAGAAGCGACCTCCCACAGGGAGATGGTACCTTCTTTTGACAGTCATGCTCAATAGCTAACCAAATGCAACCTTAAATTCCTTCTACTTACAGTTCAACTTTGACATGACTAAAGAAGTATTTTAGTCTATCTGTATTTAAAAAAAAACAAGTCCCACCGCTGTAAAGCATCACTAAATACAAACCTGTTCTGTAACAGCAGAACCTAACAATTTGTTTTTTCTCTCTAACAAATGCTAGCTTTCTTTTTTTAATTGAGTGGCTAGACATCTTGACTGAGGGATTAAAATCTCTGTAATATAATAGGAATTTCATTTAGATTTATAATAGGAAGCTCATTTCCCTTATAAAACCATTAATAGAAAATAAAGCCCTTTTTGTTAACTCTAATCTTGCTTCCTTGCAAGTGTGCCAGAGGCACTTCAATATGGATCAGGTCATGAATATCACAAATTACAGCAGCAATGTGTGGCAACAAAGGATCAGATTATTCATATAACAGTAATACTTTCTTCCTTTCTTCTTTGATAAGAAAAGAAGTAAACAGTATGCACCGATCTCTCAGGACAAAAGGTCAGTTCCTCTTAAATCTCTGTTTTTCTGATACTTACAAATCCAGGTTTACAGTATGAAGTAACGGCACAACACAAACCTTAGAATGATGAACGAGGGGTATTACAGGGTATAAAACCTACTTCATTTTATGTCAAAATTCTCTCCTGCTTCACATAATGTACAGGTTAAGCTAGAGTAGGAAAAAGTTAGTAAGCGCTATTTTTACATGAAGTTTCCTATGGTAGATTTATGGCAGATGCATTACGAACAAAGCAAAACTATGTACAGGCAAGCACAATTACGGAAGAATTAATGTACCAACAAGAACAGCATTGGCCATAAATGCAGTATTACATAGTGAAATGAAATTCACAGTTAATTTATCAATCAGTATTTCAATGCAGAAAAACACACCCCACTAAAGTTTGTATTTTTCCTTAGGTAATACTGAAACACACGACAACTGTAGCCCATTTCCCTACTTGAAACACACACACTGGGAAAGACTTATATGGTCCCTTCCCCTTCATGGGGAGGGAAAAGACAAGAGTAATGACCAAACAGAAGTGCAAAGATGTTATTCATACACACCTGGTACCCATTACAGAGCCCTCCACACATTGCCCTGCAACTGCAGTGCACAAAACTGGCTTTTTATTAGCAAAAACTTATTTCCAGAAATCCAAAGATTTAATTTAAGTTATAATACAATAGAGGTATATTACCTTTAATGCGTCCTATTCCTTTACCATAATTCAACAAAGCTTCAGGTGATGTTCACATTAAATGCCAGTTGCCCGGTCCAAAGGACACTGTATTAGCCCCCCCGCAACTCTATACTTCAAAGGGAAGTGAACCTTTTTGTGCCGCCCAAATACTCCTGTTGAACTCCACTAAAAACTGTCTGCTGGACCTGGGCTGATAGAAACTCCAGGAAGAAATGAAGGAAGACTTCCAGGATACCTTCCCCAAAGAGAAGACTACAATTCTGCAGCAATACGCAACATTAACATCTGATGGGAGAAGTCTGTCAAGGAGAAGCCTTAGGAAGACGATGCTGGTTTTGCGGAAAGACTTAGCATCTCTGATGTTTGGGGCCAGGCTGGAGTCATAACTCTAATTAAATTCTAATCTGCTTTTCCCAGGTTTCATAAAATGCTGTCTCAAATAGGCTTATCTTCTAAGAAGTGCAGCATGATCTTCTCATTAAAGAATCTGTTACAATGAAAACACATTAGTACTAAAGACATAAAAGACTGAGGAAATTATGGACATTTCCCCCCAAACCAGTGGTTTGTCCTAGTATCACTTTAAAAAAACCTGTACATTCACAAGTCTGCTTGAAAAGTGGGAACTTGCTGTTTAAGTGTTTCTTCAATGTTATCTCTATTTTGTTCTTTAATTAATAAAAGGATACATGCACTGACATTATAAATACTAATTTGCTATTTAGCATCCCAAATTAGGAAGCATAAACATTTACGCACTTCATTAAACACTACCTAAGAACACTTTGAGATTAACAGGAGACAAGCCAGGCTGTTAAATGCAATTTCAGAATACGCATAAGCCATAAAAAGACACTCCTCCTCTTCCCGTCTCTCTCTATGAATGCTCCATGGCTCCATCCTATTGGCACCAGCCCTTATGAAATGAACCTGGGAAATCAGTGGTATCCGACGCATCTGTGCAATAACAAGTGCCAGTTTAAGGGAAGGGACGGGAACGCAGGGACACGAGCAGCGAAAGCGGGGCGTACTCTTTTGGCAGCACGGCATACTTAGATTAGCAGGAGCCAATCACGAAATTGCACTTCAGAAAGCGTAAAGCAAATACTTACGCCCTGAATTAAGACATCATTTAAGCACATGTGGTGTACAGGAAGAGACAACGTGGTGTTTTTCTCCATCTCTTCTGAAACAGGCACTAGCACGCCTCCTCCTCTCTTCCCCTCCTTCCTCCACCCCATCTCAGCCCTTTAAAGAATCTTTGCATTGCTCCTTCCAAATTATCTATGCACACAGGACACTAAAATAGGTTTAACGTTAGGGTATACCAGTGCTACAGGAAGATGATAAGAAACGGTAAATCTTTCAAAACTACAGGAAGCAGAATTTCTGTGGCAGAAAAGGAACAAATGTCCATACTCAGGAACAGACAGCCTGAAAGGCAGATAATCACATCTGCATGCGTAAAACAAACGGAGGGTTTACTAAGGTCACCAATATAACAAATCCTCAAAATTTATCAGTACAGGCCCTAAGTTATCTCTACAAACCTTATTCTCAAAATCCTTCATGAAACAAGACTGCAGGTTATTTTCTTTCACTTACAGACAATAGGGTATAATTCAGACAACAAATTATTCCTTATAACTTTGTATCGCAAGTCTAACTTCAGTGTAGAAAATTACTCTTAATTTAAAATTGTGCTAAAAGTTTCCACTGTTAAATTATGGACTCAGAGGAAATGGTACTAAATTTTCTATTATACATAATCTTGCCGTAGTATGACAATCTTTAAATCATTTGAAAATACAAATACACTAAAAATAGAGTGTTTCAAGAACAGTAATATGGACATCCTGAAGACCTCTGTACCATAACCAGAAATCTGGAAAGTGTCTTGGTGCCTGAAAAAGAACTGCTTTTAGATTTTTTTTTTTTTTAATAAATTATCATGACTTTACAATTTACAGCTTTGGGTTCTTTGTTGTTTGTTTGTTTGGTTTTTTTAAACTACGACAGCAATGGTGATCTAACTACAAGATAATAAGTGAAAAAGAAGCATTCTTTGTGTGTTTTTGACCAAATATATTGTTAGAGATCAAAACAAAGATTTATAAAAACAAATGATTAAAATTTCAGTTCAGAAAAACACTTTGTAAAATACAATAAAACCCTTTCCAATAGCAAAGTGGATTTTGTACAGTTCTTCCTTCTAAGCAGATGTTTACTGCACCTAGATCTACTAACTCCAGTAAAACAAAATGTAGGCAAAACGGGTTGGTGTTCGCAGAATTACAACCTATATACAGAACTGCAGGTAACATACTGCAACTCCTTGGAAAAACCTTTGAAAATTCATCGTTTCATTGTGAGTGGACTTACAACATATCTACATTACTGAAAAGCAGGTTACACCATAGAAAGGCTTTTGACAGAACCGCTCAAAAAATTAATCAGTTATAGGAGGAGAGTAACACTTCAAATCAGCTTCTCCCATCAGCAAAAATGCCACACAAATCAAAAAACAACACTTAAGTAAAACACTAAGACTTTATTAAAAATTCAAAATTTATTGCAAATTGTACTTTGCACTTTCCCTCCTTTCTTCATTTTTACATGATTTATTGATATCCATGATTTTTTCACAGATGTACTTGTTGACTTTGGAGAGTCTCTGTGCAATTTCAGTTTCATCCACAGTTTCTTGTGCTATTCTATCATACAAACATTCTGGGGAGAAAAAAAAAAGGAAAGAGCCATTAGGATATTTTTAGAAAAGAATACAGCCCTGTGTTGAGCTAACTACTCAACAGACAGCACTGAGTAAGCACTGAGTAACCACTGTGATATCTTTGCAAGACAACAGCAGCTTTCATTGATTCACTGGCTGTCTTGTTAAAGACAAGATTTTTCACCAGGCTTGAATCTTTGGCATGACCAACTTCCAGTTATGCTGTGACTACATTAATAGGCTTTCTATACAGAAACAAGGCTAAATCCAGCCTTTTACAGTGTCAGTCTTGCCTGCCTAACTCTTGTATTTGTCCATATCTCCACAGCAGATTTAGAATCTTCTCCCAGGCGAACGGTCTCACTAGAACTGTTGTTATCTACAGTTCCCTGTAAGTCACTCCTACCTTCACACCTTCAAGATAGTAAGTAAATGATAATGATTAGGAAGAGAAGCAGCAACCAGCAGAAGACATTAACTGATTTATTTTATTTTTTAAATCTGTACAACATACATTAATGTCTGCATCTTTATCAGACACCCTGTCCCTGGGCATATTTTGCTTTTATTAGTAGATTATTCAGGGCGAGAGCCATCTTCCTGCACGTTTGCACAATGCACTTTGTGAACATAACTGGAATACAAAAAGGAAGCAATAGCAATAACTGCAGAAGCAATGAGGGCAATGAAAGTCGAGACAATTCTGCTCCACGGAGTCAGTAGTTTGGTGCCAGAATCCTGCAGAGGTTACTGAAATCAGAGGTGGTGCAACACACCCAACTCGTTCGAGACAGGCAGGTTTGGGGTTTTTGTTTTCATAACCAGAACAGTGTATTTTGTTGTGTAGGCTTCCCACATTGACTAAACAAACTCTGCTCTGCTTTGCCTAGTAATCTATTCCAGTAGCCATTTATTGCTTCATATACAGAAAGCCATAGAGATTATCACTTAATTAACATGGTTTATAACATTTCTAATGCATCATATTAAAAAGTTGTGAAAATTAAGTACTATGCATGCTTTGTAGTTCATTTTGAAACCTCTCAGAAGTTTTATAAAAGGTTATTTTGCATTAACAAGGTTTATAACAGTGCTCATGCATCATATTTTTTATAATTTCTTTACTACATACTACACAGTAGGGATTTTTAAGAAGCTAGAGATATCAGACACATTAAGAGCTAATGCTGTCGTTCAAAAATCTACTTTGAATAAGTTAGTCTGTGTCCACAGAATGATGAGAACATCTAAACCAATATGAATTTTATGTTGTAAGATGTACTGAATATAAAATAAATAAAATTAATCAGCATGCAGCCTGATAGCTGAAATGCAGATCATTAGTAAGCTACAATTTGAAGTACGGCACCTAAAAAGAGGCACATCACTGAGAACCTGAAGAAACCCAGTGTGTTTGCAGGACATAAACTGGTACTACAACAATCTCAGGAATACTCCCAGGTTGCGGCAGATACACCTAGTAAGGTGAACTTCCAGTAAAAGACAGACTAGGTTATTAGTTTAGTCACCATGTCAAGCACCATGACAGAACTCATGTATCAACTGTGATTCTTAAAGTCAGTGTGACCCAGACAGATCCATGATCATCACAGTTTTTCCTCTTCTGTCTCTTCCATTTTTGTGAGGGGCTGCAGAGAGAGTAGTTTAGTAGTCACATAAGGATGCTGGTTTAGGGGCTCCAAAGAGTGATTTGGGGGTTCTGCTTTGTCTTTTGGCTTTAGAGGAGCATCGAGATACCCTTTCGTATTTCTGACTGGACCAAAGATTCAAGCAAACCTCAGAAACTAACAAGGAGCTTTACTTCTTTCTGTGACGCCTGATACAAGTCATTGGCCATATAAACTCTAACTTCCTCGCATTTCACCATTTGTCCACTTGCTACTCATTTTTTTGTTTTGTTTTCTTCTCCATAACATAAAAACAACTTCTTATTTGCCCGGCTTTCCAGGAAACACTGCTGGCATGATGGGGCAAGGCCTGCTAACATTGACGCAAATGCAAAGGACACAACGTGGAAAATCATGGTTACATGCTACCCAGTACCGCTGATATACGAAGTCTGTCTGCTGCCACCTAAAACATTGGCCATGCAGTTTAAATGGTTCAAGAAGAGATTGTACAGTCTTGAGTCTAACAAAAAGGGAGTCAAAGACAAGGTGAAATAAACACTGGAAAGAGGAACATGGAAAACCAGGGCGTGGAACAGTAGAATTCAAATGAAGGTTGAGGCTGGAAGCAAAATTATGACAGAAAACACAGAAAAAACGAGGAAATAGGGAAGAGCTGAATTGCTGGAGAGTGTAAAGGTATGGAAGAGAAGAAAGGGAAGGGCACCATCTGCCTTTCACCATGTGCCTGTTGGAGCACAAACTCACTGTAGCCAAAACAAGGGGAGTTAAGAAGAAAGCTATTATTTAAATGGCTCAAGCAACACAGACTGGCCCTGACTGAAGTAGAGGAGGAAATTCTCACAGAAGCAACCTTGCCAGCAGGACAACCTAAGCAACAGCCTCCAGCAGGGAAACTAGAAAGCTCTTTGCGATGGGCTAGTGAACAATAACCCCCTTTTACTGCGTGTTTCTAAGTGCGCATCCAGGTAACGAATTCTCTTTCCCATTAGGAGCTGACAAGCCACAGCCACAGAGTGGATTCCTTACGTGGCCAGTACATCATTACTTTGCTACATGTATTAGGATTGTACCAAAAGGTCCCAGCCAGAACTAGAAAATCAGTATGGAACAGCTTGCACTTCCACATATATTCTTAAAGCAGATTAGTAAAAAAACCCCATGTCTTTTACTCCTTTCTTACAAACTAAGAAGATGACAGTACGAAGATCAGTTTCCAACCTTTCCCCGCACAACACAGACAAGCACACACTCAAAGAGGAATCATATGTCTTACTTCCAAAACATGGTACTTATTACAATAGCTCTTACAGAGTTCATAGTTAAGAGCATATAGCAACTAAGAACAGGAAATGCAGAATAATGAAGCTCAATCAAACAGGGAGCTTTCTTTCAGCCCTACTGCAATTTAGTATGGACACAAAACCTAAAAATCCAATTTCCGTATGTATTCCATGAGGAACCGACTCAGTTCTAAATTAAAAAGAAGCCTGAAATACCAAGAGAGACAGAAATGAATGCAAAACACAAGCATGATGATACAAAAGGGCTGAAATTCACTATTCATTTTAAATAAAGGAGAAGGCCTTCTCTCTCTCAAAGTACTACATACATGGACTCAGGCTTGCAGTTACTGAAAGTGTCATTTCAATTTTTCCTGCCAGATAGGTCAGTGATTTACACTTCCTGTTCAAATTCCAATTCAGGTGCAACAATTAATTTTTACAATTTCCATTTTCTCCACTTAAAAGGGTAAAACTATTCTTTCTCGCCTTTGAAGGTATGCCTATTTTTATAGTCACAGCTATAATGGTTTCTGTGCCTCATGCCGGAGTTGGTTACATTCTGGATGAAAGAATGTGGTAAAACTACTCTCAGTCTTGTTAAAAGGAATATATGCATTTTTAAAAAATCACTATGTTACGAATGAATTCCAGAACAACGTGTTGTTCTCCGGGCTCAGAGTCCTGTCCTGCAAGTGGTTCAAAGTGATGATCTTCTTGAACCTTACTGAAGTACAACTCTTCAGCTGTGAAGGCCTGCACTGTGCACAGCTATTGCAATGTGTTTTATTTTTCCTGGATATGTATGCACTTCACAGTGCAATAGCAATTTGAATTACAGTTTTTAATCAGTTAATTTTATATGAGCTGAAAAGAAGCATCTTTCAACTCAGTGATTAATAGTTAAACTCCAAAGCAGGAAGCAAAAGTTTTCAAATAACCTACCTCTGACAATGCTTAATTTGTGAGGTGAGAGAGGTGGCTTGGGAACGGCATCTTTCTTTTTTTTGGTTGCAACTCCTGTGACACTTCTGTTCTTGAGAACATCTGTTCCCCAAATCATAACCGCTAGATTTTTTGTATACTTTGAATCTCCTTGTGTTACTTGCAGCTGGTGCCATTTCTCCTCATCTACCCAAATTCCACTGCCAAGATGGACCTAGAAGGTAGTAATAATAACAACTTATCTATGGTATGTAGCACACAACAGTATCCAAGTGCTGTAGGAACATTAATATTACGTACTATAATAACAGTAATTAGGGCTGAACAAATCCATTTTGCCTAATTCTGAAACTTCTCCAACTTTGTGGGTCAGGGAGTTCAAGTCAACCTCTTATATAATATAGCTCCTCTTCCTTTTTGTATTCAATTCTTCTTCCTCTCTACTTCCCCCCACCCCGCATAGCCTATCTCCTGAAAGACTACGGTCAGGAACAGAGATAGAAGGCAACAGTAAACACATCCAGTATTATAAAGGTATGCACAGCATATAAACAAAGCAGTTGCACCAGCCTAATACAGGAGCAAGATGAAACATTGTCTTTAATATGAAAGCTTCTCTTTGGCTGAAACAGACTTCACGCAAAGCATATTTTGGAGGCAGTAGAGAGGGAAATACTTCCTAAGTTGTATTCTGTACCTGTTGGCAAAATTCAGCCTGACTGTTTAAAGTAACTAGAAGGGAAGAAGAGATTTTGAGAGCTCCAATTTCAATATAAGCCAAGAGAGTTTGGAAGCTTCCAATTCTATCTTGAAGTTTGCCTATTATGCACGATCAATCTATCTAGGTGAATACTGTTTTGTGGTAAGGCAATGACCCATTGCTGCAACATCATAAACTTTCCATTATCCAGACAACGGGGAGCAGAGATATTTCACTGAAGTAGTAAAGCAGGATAATATGGGTACTGGGAAATGCAGAGTGAAGCCATTGTAGAGTCTCCAAAAGGAAGCTGCTCGAGCCTAGTTGTGCTTATTAGCCTTGCTCAGCATTGACTGTGCTGGGTTGACTCCCACAGAGCTACACCGTATCTCTACCCCAAGATTCCCAATGCTCCAGACGCAAGATGAATGCAGGATGAGAATCTGAGCACCGTCCATAGGCTGGTACTACATATGTTTGAGCTGATAGTCCTCCTAACAACCAGGACACTTCCAAGCAACAGCAAGGAAAATAACTCCACTAGGTCTGACATGAGTGCAACCAGTAAGCCCAACTGGACACAAACGCCGGCCCTGTGCAGAACCACGGAGAATACTTTGGACCATGTATGTCCATGCTCCTAATTCCTGGAGTACAGTGCAGACACCTGAACTACCTCTGCACACAGAAAGCTTTGTTCCCATGGTGATGAACTTCATTCGGTTGGACCCACACTTTCTCATCATCCATGACGAGCTAATGCGTGCGTGACCTAGCTATTCTAATTACTGATAAGAGTTCACTGCACTGGAAAGGAAGAAGATAGAACTTACTTTCACATAATTCTGTAAAAGCGCAAAATACCAAAAATATGTATCAACCAGATTGTTATATCCAAAATTTAGGTTTCATAAAATCTGATCAAATGGAGGTTCTTCCTGTAACACTAATACTATTAAAAACTTACTGCCTCCTCACGATTAAAAAAAACCTGCAAACAAAATTCTATGGCAAAACTGTATTAGGAGACTCTGTTTGCCTTAACTGTTTTGCTCTTCGTTTTTCATGTTTTCACTCCTTTCATGTGGCATTACATAAACTGTGCCTGCTACCCATACAGATCTGAACAGCATCACCTAAGTCCCATTACATGCAATGAAAATTGGACAAAGCTACTGTAAAATTTTATACACCCATAATTTTACTGCCTGTATTCAACCAAATACCATTTTTCCTTTAAAGGAAACCTGCTTTAATTATTAATGAGGGCTATAACCCGAAGAAATTTTTTATTACGACAGCATCCTTCAAAAGGAACTAGTTGTTTAAAAACTTAAATAGAAAAATATGAATGGTTTGGCCATCAGCTACCTTATAAAAAACAAATGAAAAGTCTAACTTCCTCAAAGTATAAAACCATAAAGCAAGCTGCCTCTCCTGCAGAATTTTCTACACTGAAGGGATTCTAAGGAGCTTTTCACAAGTCCACATGGTATTTAGATTTCGTAAAGGACAGAAATGGAAGTAGTAATAAGCACAACATGAACACCCCTTTTTTTTTCCTTCCTTCCTTCTCTGTTGTCAAGCCTCTTCATAATTGCTTTAAAAAATCCACACTCTTTTGGTGCTCTGTACATATTTTGTAAGACAACTTCAATCAGAGTGAGCCGTTTGTGCTCAGAAAACAATCACGTTACAGTTATAATTCAGGTATTTCCATTTTGATCATGGAAAAGTTATCTGTAAAAATCAGTATAAGTTACTTAGAAAGTAACTAAGATTAGGAATGTTGTGACATGCCAAATTTTGGATGTCTGTATTACATTAGTTGTAGAGACTGCTGTATTTGATCAAAAATCTGATTCCCCTCCGCCAAAATTAGGGTTTGTCTTTGCTAAAGATTGTTTAGTCTCTTAAGCTACTACACTATTCATTAGCTTTAAGTTATTTAAAAGAAAACAAGTTACAGCAAATATTTTTAATATTTATGTTTCGGACAATCATCTCTTCTTTGAACATGTTTCATTTATTAAAAAAAGTTATCACTGGTATGAAACACCTATGGTAACAGCAGCTACGTGACAGACAGCCACAGACACAGAAATCTTATGTCTCCCTTTTTCTATTTCTAGCACCGTTACGGCAAGGAATTTAATCTGTCCATGTCTCAGTTTACCTCTCTGGGAAACAGGCTCGGTACTGTTTCCTATTACTTCCACAGCTACGGGAAGCTTACTGTACTCTAGATTCAGAAGCCATTTCCTTCTTGCTAAAAGAGCTGCCCCATGGGCCAGACCCTTCGCTTGATGAAATCAATGGGAACTTTACCCCCAATTTCAGCAATTGCAGGATCAACCATCAAGCACAACGCAACAGAAACAACAGCAAATTCAAAGCAATGCTCACCACCATAACTGTGCTGACACGTGCAATGCATCTAAAATGTATCTCAGAAGATGAATGCTTTTTTTTTTCTTTTTCTTTTGTTTTCTTCTTTTCTTTTCTTTAAATTAATGCCATAGGCTCTTTTTCGGTAACTCTGTTCTCCCTCTGGAGGAGAGAGATTTATCTGCTTTGAAAGAATCCTACTAAGATCAAATCCAATGCCACAAAGGGCAAGATTTCTAAAAAAGTATTTCAACTACTCTAGTGGTGCATGTCAATAAAGAAGTAATGAAAAAAGGCATAAATAAGGAAAACTGAAAAAACACCCTCCAACACTCTAAATACATTATGAGTTCACATTTCTGGCATCTGAGCTGGCTGAAGCCCCAATAAGTAGGCAAACGTAACGAAAGACCAAAATTACAAAAGGAAAGTTAAAGAGATACTAATATCTGTAAAGACAGAGAAAACTTCAGCAACAGAAGTGCCAAGAAGCTGGCAGATGAAATAAAGGTGCAAGAAAAGCTGCATACAAACACTAAAGGACATGCCCTATACCACAGATCTTAGAGCAGAAAAAAAAGGAGGTAAACCAAACTCTCATAGTAATATATGCTAAGTTTTCATATACACAAAATATACAAGCAAATGACATATGTTAAATATATTAGGCAAGAAAAGCTATCTGAACCAAATACCTGTCAAACTGTCAAGATTATACTATTTTTCACACACATTTTGTCCTCAACAATTATGTCGAATTCATCTTCAAGAATGACAGACACTTGTGCAGTCAATCTTGTAATACAGATCTGAAAATGTAGTATTTCATGCTATTCCATCAGTAATTCCATTGTACGCCAAAGCTGAAATGGATGTTTCCTCCTGAAAGTTCTCAGATTATGGTACCGAATGCATACATATCCTAAGAAACAGGATCTGCATAAGCAATTCTAAAGGACATACAGTTTTGTAAAAGAAATACATTGTCCATTTAATGATAATAGCAACAGCTATAAAAGCAAGCCTCAGTAGATGAGCATGTGTTAAACATGCTGAAGTCTGAAAAACTATCAGTCAAGTTCTGGCCAACTATAGCTAGATGGTTATTTCACCAACTTTACAAAAGTATCTGTAAAGTAGCACTACATCAGCTCAATTCAGTGGCAACAGTCCTACCACATTCAAGGGAGCCCATTTTCATTCCAGGGTTCATAATTATCTACTGGATTCCCATTCAACAAAAACATGAAGGCTTCTCTGCAATAGGACTACAGCACACTTAAAGACCTTTTAGGAAAAAAATATTTCTGTTAAATAGGCTAATGTAACTTTATAATGTGGGTTACTGACTCTGGTCTGTATTTGGTGGATTTACATACGTCACCGATTGAAGACTACGCCAATGTGCTTGTGCATGCATATTTAATAATTATATTCCTTGTGTTACACAGCATTCGATGCTCTCATCACTGAGGATAATTTTCTATGCTGTTCATATTCGTGTAATTTCATAATTTTCCTCAGCATAATAGCATGCCTTTATAAAAGCTGAGGAAGTTTGTACAAGCTGCTACCATGCAAAATCCCTGTTATCATGAAAATTCCACAAGAAAGTCACCTGATGTACATTTACAAACTATTCATGCTGTATTTAATTTAAAATACCTTTCCATTCTCGAGAATATACTTGTCCATTACTGGAACAGGGGCAGGATAGTACGTTGATGTATTTGCTTCCTCACTGAAGGTCTTCTGTACCTCAGGTTCAGGCTCAATTGATTCTGGTTTTACTTTTTCAAGCTCAATGGCAGGTCCTAGACAGTTAAGAAAAGAGAGCTGTCTGCTATCCCAGAGAACATAAAATCAATCACTTCATCACCCATGGTTAGCATAAAATAAAACATTAATCATGTTCATTTCAAAGTTAGAAAGAGTCTAAACCAAAATTCTACTCCCGAACGTCAATAAATAAAAGCAGGATAAGTAACTCTGCTTTAGAAATATTAGAATGTTTAATTTTAATGTTTATTTTTATTCTTAAATCATATGGACAATTACAGATATGGGTAAGATTGCTTCAATGCACACTACGGAAATTATGTTAAAATGACACTGAAATTATAAACCAAAAGCAACAATAGTAATTTTTCAAATAAGAATTACTATATAGTTGCATAGAAACCTGCATAATTTACTGTGATAATTATATAAATTATCCATATAGAATTACAAATTTTATAGAAATTTGAAATCTCTTTAGATATAACAGAGGTATATTAAAAATAGGGAGGATCTACAGAAATGCTATAAAGGAAACAGGCTTATGCTACTTATGCTAAAGTATCATGCATAGAAAGAGTATCCAAGGTTAAAAAAACCCACATAAATCAGAATTTTCATTGTCCAATCCACCCAACACACTGATTTTTATTTTTAATGTAATTAACAAAAATTAAGCAGAGATTAAACAACAGAATACTACTAAGCATATGTTTGAGGCTTCAAAGGAGGGTAATTATTTTGTCAGTTATCAACTTTTCTTTTCCAAATCAAACTTATAAAGTGTTTCTAAAAAGGCAGAAGAACAAAATAAAATAATTTGTGAACTGGATTTCATTATTCCATTCATTGCAGTGGCTAGACCAGAAATCCAGGAACAGGCTACGGCCCCAAGCCTATCATTGTCTCTTGATGTCTGTCTCTGGGCTCACGAGAAGCTCCAGCAGTCACTGAAGTTCCACGCAGGGACGGTGGTTCGTTAACACAGCAAAGTTGCCAGCCACTTCCAAGAACTACAAGGATAAACTCATCCACTTGTAAGAACTATATCGTGCCAGGTTGGTGCTGAGAGCGCTGCAGCACTCTGTAGCCCAACCTTGACATCTTCAACAAATGACAATTCAATAATCAGGTCACCGTCGCGGTTAAATGTTTGTACGTGCAAACCAAGCCCTGAATTGATCTAACTCTGCAAGTGAAGCTGGCACCAGAACTCATGCCTTGAATCAAATATTTTAAATCGTTTCTGTACCTGGAACAAGTGAAGTATTCATTCCTCCTTCATTTACAGATTATTATATAATGATATCAGCATTTCCTCCATTGTCAGCATTTGACATTTATCCTATAGCTTATTCTACACCTACATAGCTAGCTAAATGTTCTCAGCTGACTGCCACTTGACACTCAGCAACAACTAAAAGTTGTCTTGGCAACCCTATACTGCAGTGCCACCAATAGAGTGTCTTAAGAGCCATATGAAATGCAAGCATGGCGCAAATAGAGATATCACAAAAAACATACCATTTGCATTACAATTTCATAGTAATCTTAATCAGCACCTCTACTATCATGTATATGCAATGGTACGACCAAGACTACATAAACTTTCTATACCTGAAAGTTTAATTTTTTAATTTAGAAAGCTAAACTGATTCAGGTTGGGGGAAAGACCTGTATTGATTAAACCACCCAAAGTCTGCACACATCTCAGGGTGGGCGCACTTGAACACGCAGATGCAGCGATGTAATTGCCACTGTGAACTTAAGAACTGATCTTTTAGCTGTGACTTTAAGAACACATTCTTCAACAAAGTGCTATTTTGAGTTTTCTTATACTTTGAACTTCAGGAGGAACTTTGAGGAAGACAAAGTACAACCACCTTCTTCCTAGAAGGAAACGTTTATCTCAGTTTAAACACTTTTACTAGTTGCTGTTTAGAAGTCTTCTACTGTTTTGTTTATAGTCATATATTGACACAGCTGGGATTTGGTTTCCAGAGTTCCCCAAGAAAAACAGCTGATTAAAGTCCACAATAACCATAGCTCTAACAGGTCAGAAAAACCTCTATTGCAATTCATGCTTTACTGCTTGCTTAGAAGTCACCAACAGAAAGGCTTTAAAGCGTCTTCCTTTATATTCTACTCGTTTTTGCTTCCCAAACAGAAATCTGCCTCTATCTAGGTAGTCTTCACAGCTACTTTCACCAACCACTAAAGACTGCATTTTCAACCCGGTATGTTGTGAATTAGACATTATTGCCTTACTGCCAATGGGAGTTGTGGGCCCACAAGAGTTGTATACCACGCACCATACTCTAAAAGTTTCCTCTCTCTGTAGCCCTCATGTTCTGCATCTTATTTTAAAGACGATGAATGGGACATACCCCATTCATATGCCACTATCTAAAGGCTTAATTAATAATGATAGTGCTTATGTAATAAGGATCATCAAAAAAATAAAGACAATTCTTCAGAATACAAAAAGGAAACAAATGTTTTATTGCAAAATCTTTCTCCTGACTGTAAAGTTTCCATAATATCCGAGAGGCCAGCAATTTCAAATGCAGGATGAAGAGCTAGAAGGCTTCCCTTCATCACCTCTTTTCCTCAAAAATGCATCTTAGGCTACACGCTACTCAAAAATCAGTAAATAAGCCAAAATAAATTAACTGATAAAGTGGTCAATATACACTGGTAAGCAGCAAGCTGTTTTTCCACATCGTCTACCAGAATTTGAATGAAAACAACAGGAGTCTGAGAAGGGGAAATATTATATATATGGTACTTCCTGCACTCGTACTTGAAAGAAACCTTGGCCTTTTTTTTTTTTTTTTTTTTTTAACATCAAAAAGCCACACAAATCTAGAAAAGCTGAGTAACAGTAATTCCTTACATGTGGTAAGACACAAATACCATTTGTGGTATTCCCTATTCTGGTGTCAGTCCCAGGACACTGTAAACTGGATCACTGAAATTAAACTCGGATTAAAAATAACCACCTGGGGTGCTCTGTGTGGGTTGATGAATGAATGTAAATGAATGAAAGTGAATATACTCCCTGACTTTAGAGAAACGCTAATTCTTAGCAATACAACATGAAAATGCAGTATTTATCAGGGAGCAAACAACACTCAAACATTATCCCTGATACAACTTCACTACTTCTGGCCATATACAACCATAGTAAACTGCGCAGATCTTGCCCTGAGACAACTGTTTTTTTAAGAAGTTATTGAAATTCTTATCTTTTGCAATCCAAGGACTATTTAAAGTTAGGCCTACAGGGAAGAGTCAGTGATTTAATTCTCTAAATCACCTTACTCTCTATTGACAAGAACAGGGCAAATTAATGTGTTTTCAGGTGCAACAGAACAAAGGCAAACTACAAAGGCCTACGATCTCAGGGCTTCCTGATCCCAAAGCAGGCAAAGGAAAGGAGGCTTTGGCTGCACACATTCTTCAGGGAGCTCAGGTGAGGGATACCGTAACCACTTCCACCACAGTCATCATGCTCCCTCACTGCTTTGGTCTCTAGAGCCCTGGTGAAATGCCTGTCTCCTCCAGGAAGGGATCTGTTGGGCAACAGCGTATCAAAATCATAAAGACACTTCAGCATATCCCCATGGATCAGTACTGACTTCACTACTGTCATTTGCCACATCTGCTTTCAAGGCTCTTTTAAAACAAAGAGCAATTCAGTGTCACCATGCAGAAGATTAAGAACCTCGCTCAAGATTAGTAGCAGAGATGATGGCCTAGGTCTAAAGCAGAACACATTGACTTCTAGCTTCTCACCGAAATCAACATATTGATGGCAATCGAGGAGACTGAATACTTGACTGAATGCTAGCTCAAGAGGCTGTTCTATATTTGATCTGCAAGTTTAAAATGGCAGCAGGCACACGTTTCCCACTGCTGCAATTCATCAGCACAAAACAGCTGTCATCTCATGCAAAGATATCAGAAGTCTCTAAGGTGAAACAGAAATGCAATTAGTTTGCATTAAGTCCAGCCTGCTAGAAGTGCAGCGTAACATAAATTACATGTAATTTGAAACTCCAGGTTTAAGAGATTGCTGCAACAACTGAAGATGAATTCAGGATGTAATCTATTTTCTGAACAATTTTCACAGATTATTCACATACCCAAACATACCTCATTTATAAGCTGGAATAGTAAGGAAGACTAAAGAAGGCTTTACATATCTGTTTCTTGATTAAAAGTAGCACTTTTTCCTACTGTCATCAGACTCCCTAATTTATAATTTGCTGAAGATGTCTCACTTTCTAATCATTCATAAATTCTGTACTGATCTTTCTAGAATCTGGTTGTTTCTCTGCTGTGAATGAGGCTACAAGGAAGGGCAAGAGTTGTGAGTGGTCGATACAGTCAGTCTTAGGAAACACACATCCTGTGAAGGACACAGCCCGTAGAGCCAAATTCTACCTTTGTCATCCATGAAAAGTTCCATACAAGTAATAACAACAAGGGATTTTTTTGGAAGTTACCTATAATTCATATTTGTCCAGTATGTGATTAAATTAAAAGAACTTGTCTTCAATGTAATCGAGATTTATTTTCAGTTGTAAAGCAGGTGCCAGACTGATACAATGGAAATTCAATCCCAGTATTTAGAGAAGGTTCAGCATTTTTTCCATGAGGTTTTGGGGTTTGGGTGTTTTGTTGCTTTTTTTTTTTTCTTTTTTCTTTTTCTTCTAAGCTTTCTTGATTCAGCTCAAGTGAAAAATGCATCCCTTCTTTCTTAAAGTGAAAGAAACGAGACAGAATTCAGAAGCTGTCTTCATTTCATTGCTGGTCTCACCACTCAAACTGCTGTCAAGTCTACCAACTAAATTGGTATTTTACGCTGTTCAGCACCATTGCCTACTAACATCTGGCTGGTGCTCCACTCACATAAATTCCAGCTAACTACTTGCAGATGAAGAAACATCTTTCCATCCAAGGAAAATTTTAGAAAGCTCAGTGGAATCTACTGCCAACCACATCGCGTTTTTCAGACTGTGGAAACCTTGCCTATTCAGTTTATTTAAAATGTTAACTAGAATGTTTATAATAAGTAATGACATTTTAATTATGCACAGTGTAACAATGATGAGCATTCACAATCAAACACCCAGTTTAAATCGTCAGATGCTACTTCGAGAACCTGGCTCCAAACTTGCGGGCACATCGTAACACATGCTACAGCACAGGCACATGCTCTCTCGGGTTCAGGTTTGTGTGTGAATATAACTCAGACCCACATGCAAATTACATGCACTCGTTCAAGTCAAGTAGAAGAGCCAATAACCAATTTACATGCAAAAATTAAGTTTCCAGATACACAAAGGCAGACATAAGAAACAGCATGCTAAGTTTGGATGCACAAATTTTAACCAAGTTTCAGTCACCGAGCAAATCTTCAACACAGCTGTACCACATTCTAATATCAAATAAATATAAATTAGTAAAATATTTGAAGGTATTCCAAGGGTACCATCTTCAATGAAAAGGATGAACTTTTTATTTTGTCTTTTTTCCCATTTATTCCAACATAATGGTTAAATAATTGTTATAAACCAAAACAAATGAGCAACTGACTCAAGATATTTAAAATTTAAATCCAAATTACACAAACCTGCATTTTGTAACAAGTGTTGATAAACGGGACACTAATATAAAAAGTTTTTTAATTATTCTTTAACAATCCATTATTTTTCAAATAGCATGGCTGTTTAAAGCCACTGCTAAGAAGTTCAGGAATATATCACATTCTAATGAGCTACTAATGGGAAAAGGGGGCAGAAAACGGACGGCCACACAGTCACTTACATAACAATAAACAAAATCCCTAACTGAAAAGAATAAAATAGTTTTAGCCCAAATATTCATTCCACTGCCTTTTCTTTCTTCTTTTTTTTCTTTTTAAACTGGAACATATTGGTGTATTTTGCACATGACGCTTTATTATCTGTTTCAGCATATACTGGAAGGTCAGAGACTCTTTAAAATACAGCTGCTTAAAATGGAACTCTGATTCAACCATACCAGCACAAAGACCTCTACTATCATTAAAGAAAAACCCAGACGTACATAGCATACAAATTCGACACATATTGTACAGCCATAGCAGAAAACCCTTTTAACATTCAATGTCCAGTTTAACAACCACTGCTATTCTTCAAATACGTTTCCATTACTATTGATCACACTTGCAAAATTCATTAAAACTAGTCCCATTTAAGTCCGGCACTTACCACTACCTAGTCTTAGAAGCAGTACATCCTGGAGTCTCCTGTTCAAGTCTCTGAGCTCTTTCATTTCTGACACGAGTGCCCCATACTCCTTTAGCTTCTTTGCCTGTTGCACAAGCTGTCTCCGCGTTCTCTCAAGCTCCTGTTGAATGTGTCTCATTTCTTCTTGTTGCTGTTGGTAACTCCTCAGCAATTCTTCATACAGAATCCGAGGAACTACAGCATCGTCCATGTTGTTAATGCTTTCCGAAGTCTCCATAAAAGCCTCCTCAGGGCTGGAAGTATTACTGAGACTCATCCCATTCTGTTTTTCAAGGCGAGCAACAACTGCTTCAATGCTTTTGTGTGTACCTTCAGTTTGTTTCCTCCCATCTTGTCTCTGCATGTTACAACAAAAAATAAATAAATTAGTAGAGCAGTAAGATGTAATACAAATTGGGAACTATAAATAGTCTTGTTTTCCAAAAAAAGCAAGACAAAGTCTGCCTGCAAAAATGTTTTGCCTAACAGATTCTTGTGGATATACATCATAACTATCATGCACCCGCAATTCAGCTAAATGCATATACAAACTTCTGAGGCAGTTAAAGGCCTTTCTTTCCTTCTGCATTTGTGCAACACTTGCAAGCTAAGTGTATATAGGTCACTTGATTCCATAAACAAAGATAATTAATTTCTTAAAAAAAAAAAAAAGAAAAGTAGATCTGGATCTCTATTTCTTTAAAGTTTACCCCTAACATTTAGATTTCTGACAGCAATTGATTTTCTGATAAGAGACAGAATCAACTATGTGCTATGTTTGTCACCTGTAATGACATCAGAGATGAAAGCGGCATACCATACAAAGCTGTTCTGTGAACAGAGGGCTTGTCCTTCCCACACTTAGGGAGACAAAACCTTCTCTGACTATTCCTCTAACACGTTCACCCAACTGCCTGATGCAAGTGACTGAGTTAACACTTATCAGCAAACACTGAAAGGGAACTGAAAACACAGAAGTTGGAGACAGAATATATCATCCAGTCTCATCTTCCTGATTCCTTCTATATTAGTACTGCATTGCAGAGGCTTCATCTCCTTTGAACTCTCAGCAGAAATTTACCTTCAGTCATCTGCACAAACCCTACGAATTAAAGCACACCTCTTTTCTGGGGCCTAGATAGTGGTATTAAAATGTGACAGTACAGGTAAAACTCACTAAGTTTTATTGGTCAAATATGGAAAAAGCATTTGAACTTCCAAGCAACTGCAAGGAAAGCAAATGTAGCTCATAGGTTAGAGACAAGAAGCTGACACTATCAATTCCCATACCACAATATCATGAGTAATGTGGCAGAAAATGAGATTGTTTGATGTTACGCCTGCTCCATGCACGTTCTAAAAAACAAAACAAAACAAAAAAAAGCTGGCCCACCATAAAGAAATGTACTAGTATCATTCCTGCAGCTGCAAAGCACATGAAGCCACAGAGCAGTATTTTATTCTGAAGGTTGGCAGACTTTTAAAGAAATAATTTGATATCAAAAAATAAATACATTTACATAGTGGGTTTCTGGCATCTGGACCTAAAAAGGCAACTGGCAGTTATAACAGAGGGATACAGTCCTGTCAATTTGTCTTCTCACCCACTGCTGTAGTTGGGAAGTCTCAGAGCACCCCTTCCAATTCCAAACAAGCAGCGTGCAATAGGTCACAAGTGCCACCGAGAACAGCTGCTCGACATTCATGTAACTGGTGACTTTTAAAGCATTGTTCCAAAAATCTCAAATGGCAATTAAAGTGTGCAGACGGTATAAACAGGAAAATGTCGATTGCACATAAATCAGGTTTTAAAAACCCGTACCCCACCCCCCCACACAATTTGACCCAATTTCACCAAACACAGTGTTTTAAGGGGATCAAAAGCAGGCCTGGAATTCTTAAGCTATGACGTCTGTATATGCCCCAAGCACTTCCAAAAACAAAAACAAAACAAAACAAAAAAAGATAAAAAAGAAAAAAAAGGAAAGGAAAAAAAAAAAAAAAAAGGAAAGACTTCAGTACCTTACTGTGTCTAAGCTCCACATCTTCTTCCCCATAATCTGTAACCTCCCCAGCTTCTTCTACGTGATTGAGAGAGAGTTTGGGGATTTTAATTTTCTTCTGCATCACACTGTTCTCAAGGTCAGTTTTGTCCTCTAAAATGTATATTGAAAATAAAATTTTGTTACATTAATCAGTGTTCTTACTTCCAAATACTACATGACTTAGGCAAGACCAGTTAAAAAAAAACCTCCCATGCTTCAATCCCCTCATAATACTATGATCAAATTAACCCATGGTGTAACTCAACCGATGCCCACTGACAATTCTAGAGTTTCAACAGGGGATTAATCTGGCCAAACACAAGAATAAATATTGTAAATTGCCAAGCTAAATTCATGTGAGTGATCAAAACTGTCAATGAGTAACTTGTACTATCACTAAAATAAGAATTAAAGATGCTGTAAATAAAACAACTTCCTAAAAACCATCTGTATTGCTTTAAATTATGTTTACCAACAGTATTTTCATATTCATAATCTGTTGCTGCAGTTCAAACTCTGCTTAGGTTTAAAGTGAAAATAAACTTGGTAATTTATCCTATACTCTAACCATCAATTCTCAGCTGTACAGATCTATTTGCACACATGGCAGATTCTGCTGTTCTGCAAAGTGCAGGGCTGGAAAAGGGGATGCTGCAGTATAGGTTGAAAGGGCATTACAGAAAAGTTGCGTATGGACCAAATCTGTAACAACATTACTATACGACCCCTATTTCATTAGTTAATGGTACTAATCCTTTTCCTTTAGATACACAAAACCAATAAATGGTTAGATTAATCGTTGAATCTCATTAAAAAATTGTAGTAAAATAGTTTCAAGTCTGAAACATTCTAACATCTCAAAATTAAGTATTTCAAAACCTTATTCTGAAAATAGGTTTGAAATATTTTAATATTCCTGAAAAGGTGCAGAGGGGACAGGGAATCAAGAGTACAGTCTTCCCAAATGTGCCTGTGATCTGTAAAATTCTTGCAGAGCAGATAAGGTCTTAAAAGATTCACAAGCTTGGCTACCTGTTCAAGACATTGACAAGGAGAAATGCATTTAATCTCTTAAGTGTTGTCTTTGTACACTGAAAGCTTATGAATAAGAAAACATTTTGAGTCTTCTTATCCACCTGCAAACTGTATTTCACAAAGTGTCCCATGAATATTTTTGAAAGTGCCAATGAGGATGGCATTTGTGAGTGCTTAGTTGCATTGACTTCTGCTTTCTTAAATTAGCATCTCTCCACAGGACCTCAAAATGGTTAGTGTTGACAGTGTAGAAAAGGGAAACAAAGGTAAATCACTGTTTAATGAGGAGCAAGGCATTCATTAGAAATGAATTACACAGATGAATGCAATTCATTTTGTTACAGATAGAAATGGATCTCTTGTAGGCAAATGGTGATATTACAGCCCAAGGCTATGTAACGAGAATAGGCACAGAACATGCAGAATAAGACATTAGACAACCTGAAATGAAATGCAGATGGTAGCAATAAATACTAAGACAGATGCAAAAAGAAACAGATAAACAACAAAAAACAGCTAGGCTTATTTTAGATCATTCTCCATTCCCCAGAGCATCACGGATGCTTATCCCAGTAAAACAAAAAGGCAATCCAACTGTTTCCATTTTGAAAAATAAACCCCCCCATTTTCATTTATCTGGAAAACGTAGGTTCATCAGAAAAATGAGATAACCCACTCTACTGTCAGAGAGCAGAGAAGAAAATAAAAGAGCCCTTCTTAGGAAAAAAAAATACAAATTTACAGAATAAAGGACAGACTGATGGGTATTGGTATCTTCTTGGAAGGACAGAATTTAAGAATAGATCAATCCATATTGACTGAAACAAACAAACAAACAACTTTTCCTGTGGCTATGTATTTAGGGGTATCTGATAGATTGAGGAATCCTTTGCTAAAATATGTTCTCACAATTCCTTAGAGGAAGAGCAGCGCACACACGCTGCATAGCCAGCTTCTCTAGACCGCTTTGCCAAATCATCTTCCACAGGACGTGCAGATTAACTCCTTCTACATTTAAAGAATGCAGATCAGTTTCTATGCTCAAAAATAACCCTTGGCCTCACAACAAGATGGACACGATCCAATTACTTCACATAGTTAAAAAAACTGTCTGCTGGCAACTACCTGAGGTCACCAGTAGCCAGAAGCCCATGCAGACTGGAAACGGACACCAGCCATCCTTCCAATGGCCAGGGAAAAGCAAGTCTTGAAACACTGATGGAAAGGGGTCACAGAGGAGTAAGTGCACGTGCAGACTACAGTGGAAGTGAGCAAATACTCTCCGATGAATAAAGCAACATTAAAATAAAAAAAAATTTGGAAGAACAGAAATAGTTATCTTTTCATTTTGGCTTTTTGTTTTTAAGTCAATTTATAAAGGTTATGAACACATTTTATGCACTGAACAACCGAAATGAAAGAAAATCCTTAGCTTGAGGTCAAAAAAACCAATGCAAATTATCTGAATTCTTCATTCTCTCCACTTCCCTCCCAATTTCTCAGTTTGCCTATGAAATCTATGTTTGCAAAACTTCACCAGTGGACTGAAGGTAAAAGTTTATTTATATACCTCCTTACAAATGCTTAGTTTATACACTACTGGTGTGTAACTATCAACATGGTTCTTTGCATGTTTGGCAAATCTTTTCACTTGACTTTTTGATTTTACTGCTTATCCCGTAAATGAATCAGTAAGTTGAAGAAAGGAACTCTTTTCTCCCCACACAAAATTTGAAGAAACAATGGTGAAAATGAGTTCATATAAGTTAAAACTCAGGAACTTTTAATTTAGTCAATGAGCAAATAATTTTATGTTCCTCTGCCTTCCAACAACAATACATACAATGTTTTCTTACATATGCTCTGGTCTTTGTAGGCCTATTTATACCTAAAACAATTCATCTAGTATGTTGGATATGAAAAGGCCTTTTGTTTTTCTTTTCTTTTTTTTTTTTAAAAAAAGTGCATTTCTAACCTCTGTTGTCTTCTACATTAGCTGCAGCTAGAGCCAGAAAAATCTCATTCTGAATTTGAGGCTAATGCTGGAGTACTGGCTCTTGTTCTGTAAATATTAATGGAATTTAGGAAGGGGTGGGAGGGAATGAGAGGAGACCAGGGGGAGGGATAGGAGAAACATGAACGTGCATTTAGAGCAGTTCTTTTTCGGACTCTCTGTCTGTTGTTGTGCCAGCCTACAAAAGACAGGTACAAAAGAAGAATCCAGCAAAAAGCAAAACACTCATGGTTTTGAGCCAGAAGAAAACCAGGATATGAACCAAACAGCTGGACAAGCTGCAATTCAGTGCCTGAAGCTGCAGAACATGCTAAGAGAGAGAAGGGCAGTCCTAGAAACATTGTAGCTCAGAGCCGCATTTTGTTATGACCTGAAGCATTTGTCTGGACTTTGTCCCCAGTCATTTAAACCTTGCTACAAGCTAAAAATTATACCTTGCCCTAGGTGGCCACGATCAGATTGTCATAAAGTTGTGTCTATTGTTTTTCCCACACATGGCGTAAGTGGTTCAGTGATACCGGCTACTGAGAACTAGCACTTAACACACCTAATAAGGTACTTGTAACAAAATACGCAGGGTAGAAGCGTGATACAAGAATGGACAACATTGATGCCCTCTGTCCTTTAAGAAGGGACATTCTGGAAGACACATGTAAATTAGGAAAAATTGCTTTTGTGCACAGTAGCGATAATGCCAGATAGAGAACACAGTATTCTGTGATTCAATATACAGAATAAAGCATGCTGGAGTAACTGTACTCCAGGAAAAGGTCAGACTTGGAGAGATCTTGCCAGTCAACTCCACAAGGTACTGAAGTACTGAAGTACAGGGCTCAATGGCCAGTGCACATGATAGCATTTCTCCCCATACGGCCATCTACCAAAGTTGTTCGGGTAGTAAGAAGAAAGTGAACTGCTGAGACATTTCAGAGTGGCTGGGAAGACATTTGGCCTCGGCAGTGCTGAAAGAAAAGCCAAAAAAGCAATCCTGCATAAGAGATTCTGTATCAACTAGAAAAGGATAAACTGTTCCTGGAATGTTTTCTTCAGTCAGGCCTTCGTTTCAGTGTCAGGATGAGTGGATCCAGGCCAAAAGGTAATAGCTTTAAGTCTGGAGCAGCAGGGAACTGAGACAGACAAAGCAACTTTGACAGGGCAGGAAGCGAGTTGGTTAAATTCAAGTCAAAATATGTTAGTGCTCTAAAATTGACAACCCTATCGTGGGATGTAGAATAAAACTATGGAAATCTCAGTGTCTCCTTAAAACATTCCTTACTTTCTAATTTAGAAGTAAGGACTGAACAAACTAATCCCTTCAAAAAATAGTTCAAATGCTGATTTTTTTCCACCTTTGGAGTAAAAGCTGGAAAAATAGAGGAAGAGAGCTCTGCGCTCCAAATGGATGAGGGATGGCAGGTCTGGGATCAGTCCAAATAAGGGGCTTGGCAATGCTATAAATCTTACAATAATAAAACGAAAGAACCTTGAGCAAAATTCGTCCTTCCCCTAAGCCTTCAAAAAAATTCCACCCCTTGTGAAACATGATACGCTGACAGATGAAAAAATTTACCATCACCCTTCCCATTTCCAGGCATACACCCAACACATATGGGCAACACCTGCACTGCTGCACTGAACTGCTTCGCTACTGATTTAGCCAGGTTGCTTCTATGGAGCAGAGAATGTCACCTGCCTCAGCAGGTTGTGCATCGGTTACAGTTCATAAAGTAGAAGACACTTAAGAACCAAAGCAAAAAACCCACAACCAAAGGTATACTTGGTGCTTCAAAGCAAATACACACACCAAGCAAGCACGACAGAGCATGGATTCCTAAGTGCCACTTAAACACAAATAAACAATAATCAATATTGCTGTGACTGAGAAGGAAAACAGCATGATAGTACAAAATAAAAAAAAAAGGCAAAAAAAAAGTCACCTAGTTTATTTGAAACTGGAAAAAAAGAATTATAAATTACTTTCCTAGCTCATTTAATGCAAACATTAAAGAAGGACTTTAACAGGAAGAACAGAAGAGATTTCAGAAAATGTGACAATCC